TACTCGATTAAAATCCCCCCCCCCCCCCCCCACTTGGGAATCGAAATGGACGCTTTTAAGCACAAGGGGGCTATCCCGAGAAAAGCTGTTTTTTGAGAAACTCGAAGTCGAAGGTAAAGTTTTTGCCCTTTGTTCAGTTTCTTCTTTTTTTTTAAACTAGGAGAGTTTTCTCTATAACCAAACAAATATACACACCAATGAAACCAAACTTCTCCTATTGGTAGGGCAATGCCCACTTTTGGTGCAGGTTAAGATTTCTGGAAACCCCCGAAATCTGGGTTAGCCCGCTAAGCCTTAAAATAAAAGCGACCAATTCAGGTCTCCTGCGTGCGACAGTGAATGCCTAACCACTACCTGACAGACGACGGTCTTTTTTCTTTTTTTTTCACTTACTCAGCAACAGAAATTCAGCTAGACTTGAGCTTAGGGGTTTTGTGGCTGCATGTTGATACTCAGTCCATCTGCAGAATAGTGGAAGACAATAGCTCAGCTGCATTTTGTTTTCTATTTTAAAACCGTTTCCCCGAGCTGTATTTTTTTATTTAAATTTTCCAACGTCTCCACTAGCTATTATTTCATTTTATATTTTCCAACCGTCTCCACGAGCTTTATTTTATTTTCTATATGACAACCGTCTCCACTACCTGCTTTTTAGTTTTTTATTTCAAAACCGCTTCCAATAGCTGCTTTTAATTTTCTATTTAATTATCCAACCGTCTTCATTAGCTGTATTTTGTTTTCTATTTTTCAACCGTCTCCCCTAGCTGTGTAAGATCAGTGGTGTGGATGAAAGACAGCAGTAAAAAGGAGCCGAGGAGTAGCAGTAAAAAGGCAACAGAAAGAGTCAGGAGCCCAGAGAAGGGGGCATAGGAGGTGAAGGGGTGGGGGTAGAAAGTGGAGACGAAAGCAAGCAACAGAACATTGATAGTTTAGAGAGCAGGAAAGGATGTGATAGGAGAAAAATTTCGAAAGTGGTGACGAAAGCAAACAACAGAACATTGTTAGAGAGCAGGAAAGGATGTGATAGGAGAAAATTTTACAGAAGAAAATGTTCCGTCCTTATCTGGATTCGAACCTGGGACTTATTGAATGAGAGGCGAACACCTCTAGGCCACGATCAAGAGCCCCCAATGTCAGTATTCGGTTGTGGTGGGGACATGCTCTACTAACATAACACTTTTTTTTAAAGGGCAGGACCAGCATCAAATTAAATGAGTTTACGCTATATAAACACACACAAAAATAGAAAAACAACACACCAGAACAATAACAAGAAAAAAAAATTAACACACCTACAAATTAAAACACAACAAAGAGGGAAAAATGAAAGAGAAACAGCAATATAAGATAGTATTATAGTAGGTAATGTACTTAATAAGTTATATTCTTCACATGAAAATAAATCAACGTCTTGTCAACAAGTGAGAAAGAGACGAAGTGGAGCAGAAGTGAAAATAAACTTATTGTCTAAAAGTAAAGAGATTCGACTTTTTTTTTACTTTGTTTGTTTGTTCGTTTTTAATTATACTCTTGTGTTTTTTTCGGTTTTTTGTATTCCCCTGGTGGTGGGGTTTTTTGTTGTTGTTGTTTTGTTGTTTTTTTGTTGCTTTTAACGCAGATGCTAGACTTACGTAACAGGATGACTAATCCCCCTTCTTCTCTCCATACTCATTTAAGTAGTGTTACTAAAAAAAATGTTTTCAGTTTTGAGGTATTGTTGTAGCTCATGATGATGTACAGTAGTTTCTTCAGTGCCTTGAGATAGGAGAACTGGCGTCTGTGGTGTAGAGGTGAGGGTGTTTTGCTGTGGTACGCAGGAGACCGGGGAGTGATTGCTCACCGTCGTCTTACCGAGGCGTTTGACTAAAGGGAAGTAACCACAGTAATACAGTATGTCTTATAAAGTGATATGTGATAAGTTTGTTATTTCCCTGGGCTAGGGTTACTTTTTAGGAGTTAGGGGCAAGGATTAGGGTCAGGGTTAGCAAAGCAATACTGAGGGAGCATCACACCACACTAACTCTGGAAGAAATTTTGCCACACCTCTCCGGAGCAAGCTACTTCTCCATACTTGATGCAAAATGTGGATACTGGAACGCTGAGCTTGATGACAATTCAAGTTGTCTGACAACATTTAATTCTCCATTTGGCCGATACCGATTTCTAAGAATGCCCTTTGGACTTCGAAAGAGCCAAGACGTTTTCCAAGCGAAAATTGACCAAACATTTGAAGGCTGCAAAGGTGTGATTGGCATCGCAGCCAATATTGTGGTGTTTGGGAAAACTGCAGAAGAACATGACGCAAACCTACAGAATGATACTTCGGTGTCAGAAAACTGGACTCAAGCTGAACCCAGACAAATGCAGAATCAAGGAAAACCACCTCAAGTTCTACGACAGCATAATCTGCACAGGCGAAGGGATCAAGTCTGACCAAGCAAAAACAAAAAATTGGGAACCTGCAATCGTCACCGAAAAAGTCTCGTCACCGAGATCGTATGTCATAAATCAGCACGACACACGAGACGTACGCAGGAACAGAAGCCAAATCCGTTCTGTTCCTTCCCCCAGACAAGTTCAACATGAACCACCAACTGACCCACCTGCACAACCCGCGGTGACAGAACAAGCTGCACCTTTACAGTCACAACCTGCACCTTTACTATCACTATCACCACCTGCACTCAGAAGAAGCGGAAGAAAGATCAATGCTCCACAACGCCTCGATCTTTAAAAACCTCAAATTCATACTCGTCAGAATCCTTCACGTCTTTTTATTTTTTTTCATTAAATGGAGGAAGAATGGTCAAAAGGATTAGCCTGATATGCCATTTCTATACAAACATGTAGATATGTGTAGTTCACAAACACCTACATAAACAAGTGAAATCATACTACCCCATGCAAACAGCAGGTAGGCTACACATCAAGAGAAATGGAAGAAGGAGACAGGTTTTCAATTCACACAAATAAACAACACACTAGGAAGTGAATATGGCCATTCATTTTTTTTTTTCAGCTTCAAGAGACTACCTGGTCCTGATGTGCATGACTGTGAAGTCCTCGTCACATGAACATGAACAAGTGTGGAAAACTATCCCATTACAATTAGAACTCTATTTGACACAATCTCCATAGAACTCAATCAAAGATAGTAACATAACAAGATGGGCCACTTCTCTCTTTGAGCCAATTAAAAAAGTGTCCTCAAAATTTGGTGGCGCCCTCTTCACAAAAGCGCACTCTTTGCGAAACAGAGTTACCCTACTTGAGTTTTTAAAAATCAAAGTGAAACTAGCAAGTTTTGGGATAAAATTCGGAAGAATGCTTTTTTTAAATGGTTACGCTGACAAAAAACCTCTTCCAGAGGAAAGGGTGATGGTTTTCTTCGTTTAATTTGACTTTAGAATGAAAGGTGAGAGGACATTAAAATTTTAAAAACCTAAAACTCCGCACTGAACGTACCCGAACTGCTGATGGACAGCAGTCGATCTGCGCACGCAAGGAGGTGCTATTCCTATTCTTCTTCTGGAAAAACGAAAGACAGCTTCAAAACAGACTGCAGCGCCATCTGAAGCAAAGAGCATACTTCCTGCGGACACTTTTTTGGCTGAGTGGCCCATCTTGTTATTTACTATCTTTGACTCAATACACAGACATTTTGACATTAATTTACTAGACTTGTACCGTGGAGGCTAATTTTCTCATCCCCAAATCAGTAGCATAACATTGCATTTTATAGATCTACCCTTAGGAGAACTTCAATCCTTACGTTATATATACACCGCTATAGATTATATAAATTATTTTTTTTACAGAAAAGGGGATGTCATGATATTTCAATGTCTACCGTACACGACCTCGCATTGTTATACCACCCGTGTTCCAGTGACTTAATAACCCTCTCGCTTTTAGTTTCGTTTTAGTCTTTGTTCTGTTCGCACTTCGAGTCAGTGTCCCGGCCGCAACATGAGCCATTAAACCTCTGTGCCTTTTCCGCTGTGTTCTGATGTCGATCATTCTGTGTACTTGTGTGTGTATTAGTATTATTAGTGTAAGTATACAAACAGACACACAGCAGACGGAGAGATGCAAACAGTAAACAACGAACGTTGAGCTAAGAGATAGATATATTTGAACTTTCACTGCTGTATTTAAACTCGCTATCTTGATATTTCAACGGGAAAAGGTAATATTCTAGATCTCGAAAGCATGACGGCGAGCATTGAGTATGAGTACAACCAGAGAGCTTAGAATTACCTACAGACTCTCTGGTACAACTATTGAAGGCGAGAGATGTGAACAGTAAACAATGAACGTTGATAAGAGGCAGAGTAGCTTCCCCTGACTCGGAGACGATGGTTACATCATAGCTTCGTATTTTTCGAATTGTTGCCAACATCCAAAGCTGAGAGAGGCTGAGCGCGTCAACTGCTGACCTACTTTCTTATCAGCGTGTACTGTGTAGTAGTAGCCTTGTGTGTTGTGCTGTTCATTGCCCTAACTATACGGCCTAGCTCTATAATTGTTCTCCACGGCCAGTGTGCATGGTTTTGTTTTTATGCATCGAAGGGAAGAGTTTGTGATGGTCAAGAATTTCTGCCTTCTTTCTTTGCATATGTTTATGTTTCAAACGCCCGCATCTGTGATTGTTTTCAGTAGAACAGTTGTTCTATAAACTATAAATTAGAAAATTATGTACACGCCCCATTCCGTTGTTGTGTGCTTATTAGGCCCAGTAGCTTAATCTAGTATCATGTAATTTTGAGTTTCGATTCCCATTTTAAGTAGAATTCAATTCTTCTGGAGGACAGTCTACTTTACTTTTACTTTAGTCCGCAGTCTACAACTATGGAAAAACGATATCCATGCATAGTAAAACAACTGAACTCAAACAATGCAAGAAAACTTTTGGCTGTGAGGAGTGATAGTGCAAGTGACAAAGTGGTCGTGGAGGACAGTCAAAATCAAAATGAAGCTATCGTGTCTGGTGTCTGGTGCTGTTGCCCCCTCCACAGACTCGTCTACAGCCAAACCCACTGGGAAAATGAAGAAACATCGAGTGCAACATTGCGCTGCCATCAACTGCAAAAACAATCGCTTTGACAACCCAGACATGTCTTTCTTTCGATTTCCAAAGGATGAAGAAAGGTGTAGACAGTGGGTGATCAACACAGGGAGGGAAGATATCCTCCATAAATCTGCTGCACAGCTCAACAGCGGGTCTGTGCTCTGTGCTAGTCATTTTGAGGACAGTCAGTTTACATCAGAGAAAAAGACTCACCTAAAAACTTTAAAGGCTGTTCCTACCTGTTTTGATGTTCTAAATCCCCCAGAAAAAATAACGCCTTTGAGAAAGCTACCAGAATCTCCACCTTATCTGCCGAGACTGAAAAGAAAGCTTCTCAAAGTTTCAAATGTATGCTGTAGTCAAGAACCAATAAATGGCTCGAGAAAACCTGTTGAACGTGAACTGCAATCTCAATCTGAACGAATCAGAATTCTTACAAGGAAATTGGTTAGACAGAGAATTAGGATAAAACGACTAAGAAACTCTTCAAACAAATTAACACGCTCCGCCAAAGAAAATAGTAGGCCTGTTTTGCATCAGAGAAGTAACTTCAGTTCTGGAGGACAGTCTACAGCTATAGATACCGGTAAACAACATCCTTGCATAACCAGTCCACTCAACTCAGATTATAAATATAATGCTGAAACACTTTTTGCTGAGAAGAGTGATAGTGCAAGTGACAAAGTGGTCGCGAAGGACAGTCAAAATCAAAATGAAGCTGTCATGTCTGGCACTGTTGCCTCCTCCTCTGACTTGTCTACAACCAAACCTACTGGGAGAAAGAAAAAACCCAAAGTCCAACATTGCGCTGCAATTAACTGCAAAAACAATCGCTTTGACAACCCACACATGTCTTTCTTTCGATTTCCAAAGGATGAAGAAAGGTGTAGACAGTGGGTGATCAACACAGGGAGGCAAGATATCCTCCACAAATCTGCTGCGCAGCTCTTCAGGGGAGGGTCTGTGCTCTGTGCCAATCACTTTGAAGACAGTCAGTTTACCTCAGAGAAAAGGACTCTCCTGAAACAAAAAAAGGCTGTTCCTACCTGTTTTGATAATCTAAATGCTCCTGAAAAAATAACACCAGTGACTACTTTGAGGAATCCACCAGAACCTTGCTCTTATAATCTGCCCAGACTGAAGGAAAAGCAAGTTTCAGCTGTATTCTGTCATCAAGAACCAATAAATGACGCAAGCAATCTCAAAGAACAGCAGTCTCAATCTGAACAAATCAAAATTCGGACAAAGAAATTAAATAGACAGAGAATTAGCCTGATAAAACGACTAAGAAACTCTTCAAACAACTTAACGCGTTCCGTCAAAGAAAGAAGTAGGCCTGTGTTGCTTCAGAGAGGTAGCTTTACTTGTGGAGAACAATCTACAGATTTAAAACAACATCCTTGCATAGCAAGCCCACTCAACTCAGATAACTCTGAAACACTTTTGGCTGAGGAGAGTGATAATGCAAGTGACAAAGTGGTCGCGAAGGACTGTCAAAATCAAAATGAAGCTGTCGTGTCTGGCACTGTTACCTCCTACTCTGACTCGTCTACAACCAAACCCACTGGGAGAAAGAAAAAACACAAAGGCCGATATTGCGCTGCCATCAACTGCAGAAACAACCGCTTTGACAACCCATACATGTCTTTTTTTCAATTTCCAAAGGATGAAGAAAGGTGTAGACAGTGGGTGGTCAACACAGGGAAGCAAGATATCTTCCACAAATCTTCTGCGCAGCTCTTCAGGGGAGGGTCTGTGTTGTGTGCCAATCATTTTGAAGACAGTCAGTTTACATCAGAGAAAAGGACTCATCATGTGAAACATAAAAAGGCTGTTCCTACCTGTTTTGATATTCCAAATGCTTCTGAAAAAATAATACCTTTGAGAAATCCCCCAGAATCTCACTCTTATAATCTGCCCAGACTGAAGGAAAAGCAAGTTTCAGCTGTATTCAGTCGTCAAAAACCAAATGACTCAAGTGGACCTATTGAACCTGAACAGCAATCTCAATATGAACCAATGAGAATTCGAACAAAAAAATTAAATAGACAGAGAATTAGGATAAAGCAACTAAGAAACTCTTCAAACAACTTAACACACTCCGTCAAAGAAAGAAGTAGGCCTGTGTTGCTCCAAAGAGGTAACTTTAATTCTGGAGGACAGTCAACAACTATAGAACGGTATCCTTGCATAGTAAAACAACTTAACTCAAAAACACTTTTGGCTGTGAGGAGTGATAGTGCAAGTGACAAAGTGGTCGTGGAGGACAGTCAAAATCAAAATGAAGCTATCGTGTCTGGTGCTGTTGCCCCCTCCACAGACTCGTCTACAGCCAAACCCACTGGGAAAATGAAGAAACATCGAGTCCAACATTGCGCTGCCATCAACTGCAGAAACAATCGCTTTGACAACCCAGACATGTCTTTCTTTCGATTTCCAAAGGATGAAGAAAGGTGTAGACAGTGGGTGATCAACACAGGGAGGCAAGATATCCTCAACAAATCTGCTGCACAGATCAACAGCGGGTCTGTGTTATGTGCCAGTCATTTTGAAGACAGTCAGTTTACGTCAGAGAAAAAGACTCACCTGAAAACTTTAAAGGCTGTTCCTACCTGTTTTGATGTTCCAAATCCACCAGAAAAAATAACGCCTTTGAGAAATCCACCAAGATCTCGACCTTATTTGCCTCGAAGGAAAAAAAAAGCTTCTCAAAGTTTCAACTGTATTCTGTCAAGAATCAATAAAAATGGCTCGAGAAAACCTGTTGAACGGGGTCAGAAATCTCAGGCTGAACGAATCAGAACAAGGAAATTGAACAGACAGAAAATGAGAAAACAATGACTTCGTACTAGAAAGAAACTTTTCCAATAACTTTAAATGCCCATTTAAAGAAAGAAGTACTGGTACATCACAAATTAGATCTACATCAAAGAAGTAACGTCTAATTTAATTAAAACGAGGAGATTTACCCTTTTTTCTGCTAGCAAACAGCAAAAAGGTGAATGATGGACAGTATGAGACGAGCTATGCACTGTCCTTTTATCATGCTTCACCAAAGGCCTTCAGAATGCTACAACTAAAACATATATTAGTTTTTTTGGTGACTTCTGTGGATATCCAAGCCTCTTATGAGAGTCATGATGAGAATTGAAATTATCTACATGTACGAGGTCCGTTTCATTAAAAATAAGAAACTGTAACTGTAAGAAATTATGTCTGCAAAGATTGCACCGTAGAGGCAAAGTAGAAAATTCCTTATCTTCACATGCAAGACCCTGACATTCACCAACGGAAAGAAATTTGAACATATCGTCACACTGTGACTCACTCACAGTGGTTGGAAGAAATCGTTATAAAAGTAGGACAGATTGGACTCGGTTTTTTTGTGACTGGCTGTTTTTCAAAGAAAGGAAGACAAAATGAGTGACTGTGATTGCAAATACAAAGGACATTTTTGGGTTTTTTTAATACTTTTTACACAATGGGTGTCTTTGTCATTATTTGATGTTGAGTTCCGATATATACGGTAGGCCTATATAGTTTTGTGGATGTATCTCTGTCCCTGATCACTTTTTCATAGTGGGCGGTTGGAGGGCGCCACTGACAGGCCTTACTTCTTTACTTTCCCTCCTTTGATTCCGCCTAATTTTTTTAAAAACTAAATCTAAATGACAATATAATTGCTGTGTTGATGTCATCTGGCAGAAGACCTTGCATGATTCCATATATATATACATATATTTGTTTGATTACTTTGATGTGGCTGTCTTCGGTGAGAGTATGCTGTGTGTTTCATTTTCATAATGTGGGTCCCAAATCTCGGTGAACGCATGGCCACTGACTCGCAAGATCTCAGGACATCATGCCTAGTAATCTGGGCTGTATGAGTGTGAAGTGAGATTTCATGGGTCGAACCGGTCCCCCTGGTCCGGCTATGACCGAGGTGTTGTCAGGAAGTTGTGTTGCCAGCCACACTCCCTCATCATTTTATTCTTCAGATCTTTCATGATGATAGTGATATCATCAGAGATTAGATTACAGTGGAAACCATAAGCCCGGTAATAACAGGGATTTTTTAAATCCCCATTTTTCCCCTACTCTTTGTCTCTATTAAAAGGTATTGGCAATAACAGGGCATCACCGGAGCCCAGTCAGTCGGTTATAGCAGGGACAAAGGCTCGATAAAAATGTGTAAAAAGTAAGAGAGAGAGAGAGAGAGAGAGAGAGAAACGCAGTGATGGAACAAGCCCATGCAAGCCACGCCACTGCTAGCACACGCAGCGGGGAAAGCGAGAGAGGGCTGCGGTGTGCTGCAGACTTCGATACATTGTAGGCCTACCCCTAATCCTAGGAACACGCACAATGTGTCATCCAAGTGTCATGCGCAGGCCATGGAAAACTACCCATGAAAAAATACGGCGGGATTAGTCCACAAATGCTTACTTCCCTTGTATTTCTGACATGTAACAGCGATCTGATATAACAGGACTTTTTCTCTGGTCCCACCATCCCTGTTATATCACGTTTCCACTGTAGTCCTATCCTGTCCTTACGGTGTAGATCTAGTGTAAACAGCACATGGTAGTGGCGTTTGTATGTGCATGCATTCATGTTGAAATTGGAGGGCTTTATTCCAATAAAAATTAAAAGATCCAGGACAAATTTCTTGAGTGCCGGAGGCTTTATGAATCTCCCGGTACTGAGCCGGTACAACTTGTCTGTGATTTCTCACATGTGTCACGTGAATGATGATCAAGACATCGCATCGTTCCCATTTAAGTGAGAGCTTTACGGCACTTACAACACAGTGGTTAGGTCATAATATAACTTTTCATTTACAGTGCCATGTTTGATTGAATTAGGAACGAAGGAGCAAACCACACCTGAGCACCCGCCAACAACCCTCTGTTCTTACTTGTCACTATCTGTATCTGACTGTCAGAACACTTGATCTATTGGTCCTTACGCCTTACTCCCTGATTTTGCCTCTAGGGATGTGTTCCAGTTATTTTTTAATGTTTTGTAATGTTGAAGTTGAAGCGTTTTTACGCCCCCCATCAACACAAAGTAGATCATTCCGGAAACGGGTTTGGACCCTGCCTGTCACTGCCCAACCCAGGTCGAGAGCGATACAACATCCCAGCAGAAAGACCTAGTCAGATAGGCCTACATGTACTAGTTAACAAATTTTCCCTACTCGGGATTCGAACTCCAGTCTCATATATGTGTGATGGCAAAGTGCTAACCACTACGCCACAGACTACATTGTACCAGTCCAGTGACGCAGTGTGGCACCTGGGGTCAACCATCTGGCAGAGAACTGGTCGCCGAGTCATCATACATGAGGTGAACATTTGTACCATTAAAAAAAATTGATACCGTATAGATCAGATAAAAGAATAAAAAAGATTGTCACTCAAACTCAATTTCAAAGTGGTGGGTGGTTGGCGAATGCTCTCGTGTAGTTTAAGTTCGCTCCTTTTTTCTTAAATATATTCTCTATTATCCTTTTATAATAAATTCTCTCTCCTCTTTTCTTGTGTTTGTTACGCTCTCTTGCAACACCTCTAATCTTCAGCACTTAATACAATATATTATAACCTTATTATGTTGCAAGTGCCATAAAACTCTGACTACTATTAACTACTAAACAACTTCAAGTTCAAGTGTGACTCACACTCACTGCATCACATCCAACTTGTATCATGTTTTAGTATACCGTACTATTACGCACGGTACCAGTATGTCTTAAAAAACAAGAACAAAGCATGACGTACTGTTTGTTTCCTTCCTTTATTTAACATGTAAAATTTAAAAAACGTAAGTTTTTTCATCATAACAAATTCTCAAATATGTACTTTGTCAAAGTCATATATAATATGCCTGTCACTCTCAGAATCCCACACAACCACTCAGGCACGGATTCACGCACGCATACACACGCGCTCACACACACAACATACACACAAACATAATACATGAACCAGTCCTGGCTTCAACAAATCACATTTAATTGTCCATTCAGTCATTCAGACAAATTTATGTAAAATGAGCGTTACGTCGAGATTGAAAACGGACAGATTCCCCTCCACCAAAGACCAACAACCAGGTCTACCTGAGAGAAAGAAACAAACAAGCCTGGCAAAGGAATAGAATTAAAATTTCAAATCCCACATTGGCCAGTATCTGTCTACTCGACAAAATACAAATGTACCAGCAGGAAGATAGACCAAGACACAAGTATTCATACTAAAAAATCAAACCATAGGCCCTATTTTCCCCATATATAGGAAACGTGATTGAAATTCATGACTTTTGAGCTTTTATTCTTATTGTCAAGAGCCTAGAGCTACAGGAAACACTGGTTGACAATTGACAAGACAATGCACAACATTGGAAGGATAACGCACAAAAAATATAAATTATATAACTTATAAAGATGAGCTTTTACAGTAGTAGTACACTGGCCAGCTGTTCAAATGTTCCAAGCCCAAATTTTTTATATATATTTTAGTGCAGTTAATTAATCTGTGGTAGAATAAGCTCAAATTTTTGGGGGGGAAATTCAAATTCTAAATTGAAAAACAGCAAGAAAAGATACATGATGAGGAGGTAGAATTTCTTGTAAAAAAAATTTTTTTAAAGAAAGTTTGTTTTTTTTCTCTCTTGAAAAATGTAGCTTTCTGGACGGGGAACAGTTGGAACAGCCTGCTGGCGATAACTGTTACCAACAGTGATAGTAAAAATACCAACACACGGTGGTACAGTTTTTGTGCTGTGTCGTTTTCTGTCTGTTTGTATGGACAAGACAGGTTTGCTGGGGTTTTTTCATAAGCATTTTAGGGCACTTGCAACACAATTAGTAATTAGGTCATATATATTATATTATAAGTGCCAAAAATTAGAGGTGTTACAAGAGAGTAACAAACATAAAAAAGAAGGAGGGGAGATAAAGACGATAGTTGTTTGTTGATAGGAAAGAAGGATAAAAAAAAATACACACCAGAGCACCCACCAACCACCTACAACAAGACAGGTGTCTCAACCAATCTCAAGATTAAACTGAAAACATCTAGATCTAGCTCTGCCAACCATACAAAAAAATACAAAAAACATTCACTCTCACACACACTTTTCTACATTCAGTAAATTCAAGCTAGATAAATCTTCCATCTTCTATTCAAAGTGAAAGAGTAGACCTGCAGAATAACTCTCACAATAGACTTAATAAATGAGCTTCAATTTCGTTTTTATTCACAAATCCAGTCTTGAAAGATCAGCATTTTTTTTTTCAATATCAACAAGTCCAAGAGGAACAATTATACTAAAAAAACCAGCACATTGAGTTTTTTCTTTCTGATCCGCTAACAAAATTGCATACCGGGTAGACTACTTAGACTTTCACAAACATTTTTTCATCTATACTCAGCTGTCCCCAGGGTTTTATGCACCCCGCATAATTTAATTTAGAAAAATTAAATCATTCGTTGCATAATTTCTGATTATTTTCCTTTATCATTCTTTGTTAAATTTAAAAGAACCGCAAAATTTCACATTTTTTGGCTCAGTTTGCATAATTTCAGAATTATTTTTGCATAAAACCGCGGGGACAGATACTGGTTGGCAGCTATGCAAAAGATTTGGCCAATCAAGGTAGGAAGATCTATACAAGTGAAGTGAGAACTCTCACTGGAGTTGGAGGGGACACATCAGTCTTTAGTTTAGTTTTAGTAGAGGGTTTTAGTTTTATGGCGCTCGAAACTGCATAAGGTCATATGAGCGCCAGAAGATTAGAGGTGTTACAAGAGAGTAAAAAACATAAAAAAGAAGAGGAGAAAAGGACGATAGATGTTTGATAGGAAAGAAGAAGCAAACCACACCAGAGCACCCGCCAACCACTCACACACATCAGTCTACCTTCACTCTGATCACAAAGGTTCTAGTAGAATTGGGTTCGCCTTCCACTGGAGGAGGAAAAACAATACCAAACCAACTAGAGTCTGAATATTAAACAAAAATCTGATTGATGGACTTTTGAATCTTCTTCGGTCTAGCCAGGTTTTTGGTTCACACTAAAGTAGGCCTACACAGATCTATAGCAAAGAAAGAAAAACCATATATGTTCTATTTTCTTTTGGTTTTCCTGTCATTTTTAAATAACCATCTTTGGTGGGGAGGTAAGGACGATAGATGGCATGTTTGATAGGAAAGAAGAAGCAAAGCACCCACCAACCACCCACTGGTCTATCCTGAAAAATGCTGTTTTGAGAAAATCAAAGGTAAAGTTTTTGGACCCCTATTTGGTTTTCTATAAAAGACAAGGAGAGTTAAAGTTAAAGTGGAGTCCACTGCACTGACCAGGAAACTTCTGGAAAAATTGAGAGCGCCTTTCACAGTAAAAAAAAATAAAATTATAATGCAACAACAATTTTTTTTTCTCTCCTGAAAAAATTGTGCTTTCTGGGCCTAGAACAATTGAGCATTATACATTGTAGCACACTACATGTCATTATATATTATATGGTCGCTTTTAAGCACAAGGGGGCTATCCCGTTTTAGTTTAATAGTAGATCTATTAGTAGAGGTTTTACGACGCTCACAACTGCATAAGGTCATATGAGCGCCAGAAGATTAGAGGTGTTACAAGGGAGAAACAAACATAAAAAAGAAGAATGGGAGGTAAGGACGATAGATGGCATGTTTGATAGGAAAGAAGAAGCAAACCACACCAAAGCACCCACCAACCACCCACTGGGCTATCCTGAAAAATACTGTTTTGAGAAAATCGAAGGTAAAATTTTTGGACCCCTATTTGGTTTTTTATAAAAGACAAGGAGAGTTTTACGAAACAAAATATATGCACACCAATGAAACCAAACTTCTCCTATAGGTAGGGCAATGCCCACTCTCGGTGTACCGTAGGTCAAGATTTCTGGAAACCCCCCTAAATCTGGGTTAGCCCACTTGTCCTTATAAGCGACCATATTATGTAGTAGTACTGTCCCTTTACCTAGTGACATGAGCACAAAACTTACTAGATTTCTAGCACACGCACGTCTTGCTCTCAGCATTTCAACTTTTTATTTCAAGGGTTGAGAAATGCTTGAAGAGAAGAGAAACACACACCACTGCATAGCAAAACCCCACATAAATATCAAAGGCATTATAATGATAATTATAATATATTGCACTTGGCAATAAGTAAGGTTCAAGACAAAAGTAGTAATTGGAAATGTCCAGTCATTCCAATTTAAAAAACGCCATTTGACACAATAACTCTACAGTTGATCAACAAGTCAATGTCTTTCTCTCTCACGCACGCACACACAACATACACACACATTCACACATTCACACATGCACGCACACATAAAGTACATCTATGCAAAAAACGCAAACAGGACTTCAAAAATAATTTTTTCCAGCTGCGAGAAATTTAGCAACAGCTCTCACATTCATACAAGTACAATTCCACAATCTACGGCTACCAATCCACGGCAAGCCAGCTTCTTCCAAACCCAATCAGTGACATCCCCTCATGTACTTATCACATCAGATTACATACCAACAAAGAAAAATTTACATCAACTTGGGCAGGTTTTAGTGCAGTGTAGCGTATCAGTACCTGTATCTTTTAAGTGTTACTAAAAGGCCCTCAAACTCAAAAAATTCCCGATTATCGAATCCGGGTGTCCCTGAGAATTGAGAAGACAGTCGCCAAGCCTGCTACTGCTACATGTATCCGTCCATCCGTTCGTTCGACCATCAGCAACTGTTGGGAACTCTGTTGTGTCACAGTCCGGTTCTGTCTGTATGATGGAGCCCCAGGTGTCAAACCGTGATGATTTATTTATCGCTACATCCTGTAGATTCCCTTGAAAATGCTTCCCACAAACCTTCCAGTCAGAACTCGCAACAATGTGAAATTTTATAGAGGCGATCATCTGTAAGTTTGATTTAGTAAGAGTTTTACGGCACTTGCAACATAATTAAGTCCACGAGAGTACTAACAAACACAAAAAAGAAGGAGGAGAGATCAGGACGACAGATGTTTGACAGGAAAGAAGGAGCAAACCACACCAGAGCACACACAGTTAAAGCTCTCCTGAGTCTGATCCCTTTTTAAATCTTTGAACACCTCAACATGATACACATCCAAACATACATTATAATACAGTCCATGCCGGCTTTAAGCACGGTCCTCGGGAGAAAGCTTAAGCGTATGCCGAAGCGTGCTTGAGAGCGAAGTAGACATAATCTAGAGATTTTCATCTAGAAAATTTCTCGCTCTATTTCCCTTTGTTTGTAAGTAGGTCTATAGCGGTTCCGCAAAAGTGTGCACTGTTATTTTTACCCGCCATGGTAGTTTTTGTTTGCTTGTTTGTTTTTGTTTTGTGGTCGAATGGGAAAGAAAAAATCAGCATTAATGGATAGCGAAGGTCAAAGGTGAAATCGCAGCCAGCCTCCCTTTCTCTTCTCCCCGACTCTCTTTGTATTGTTTTCGTCTGTGTGTAGCTTTGGCCTAGGCTAGATCTTATGTCCACGCGAGCGGCTGTGCGCATCTCTCTGCCTTCCTCTCCGCCCGTGTGAGTCAGTGTGAGTGTGTGTGAGTCAGTGTGAGTGTGTGTGAGTGTGTGTGAGTGTGTGTCTCCATCACTTGCGTTCTTTCCCTTTGTGTTTCTCTTGACACACTCCCCTGCTGCGGTGTAGACTGTCTTCAAACTTCGATGGGTCATCATGAAAGTATTGACCGTCTTGTAAATGAAGCGTGCCTGAAGCCGAAGTTACCGTGCTTAAAAGGCATGTAATTTATCATCTATAAAAAATTCAGTAAGAGCCGTTTAGCGTGCTTGAGTCCGAAACGTGCTTTATGCTGGCGTGCTTAAAGCCGGCACGGACTGTAGGCTACATGTTCCCACCTACGCAGCCAGCATACATTTTTACTACATGATGCACTAGCACACACACATGATGACAAAAACATATTCTCAGATACATGCACACATAGATTACTTGATAATACAACAATAGCACACACACATGACACACACACACACACATGACAAAAACATGTTCTCAGATACATGCACACATAGATTACTTGATAATACAACAATAGCACACACACATACACACACACATACACATACACACACACCCACACACAAAATTACACACACATAACGTACACGCACACACACACACACAAACCCATACTTGTTCATGGTTCGTTGACACAAAATATGTCAGCCAGCCAGCAACAGTGTCAGATGACAGATGACACATACCGTACTGTCAGTGTCATTCCACAATCGCCCAAGTCAGTTTCTTAGTCTTGCAGTTTCCAGACCTAAGATAAGCTGTTTGTTAACCCTATCCATACGCCCTGGGGTCACTTTGTGCCCTCAGGGTTGTATTCTTCACATTTTAAAATAGGGCCTACTTCCAATTTACGAAGATCTCTTTGAAACTTTCAGTATTTCTCAAAAAATCATTTTGACAGACTGCTATGCAAAGCGTACGGATCGGATTAAAGGAGTAAAAATTTCCTCTCTTTGGAAAGTGGTGGCACAGAGTTCCCTACGTCGTACGGATACGATAGTACAACCCGACGTACGGAATAGGGTTAATGTTATTCCGACACAGACATCATGATCAAAGGAACATCTTTACAAACAATGTCAAATACGATGATAACTTCATTTGATTTTATCATTTCTTTCATAACTTTTTTAAATCTGAAAATAATGAGAGGCAAGTCAGAAAGATAGCTTTTATTCCGATACAGTTAATTATGTTATCATCATGATCAAAGGACATGATCTTTACAATGTAAAATAATTTCATTTTATTTCATTTCTTTCATAACTTTTTTATACTGGAAATAATGAGTGGCCAAGTCATGGTTCTGACTCGGGGCCCTCTCTCTCTCTCTCTCTCTCTTTTTTTTTTTTTACTTTTCTCAAAACATCAAAAAATGACTTACGGTACATAGGCCTACTTCTGGAATGACATTGACGAGACACTAGAACATAGACCCAGTCTGCTGACATTCCACACAGCAGAGCTTCATCAATCAAAAAACTGCTGCAATCCAATCATATCCCCACCCAACCCCACCCCCACCCCTACCCAACACACACACACACACACACACACACACAAACATCTTCCTAGACCGATGACCCCTCGCCTCCGCTAAATAACAAAAAGGGGAAATATTACAGTATGTTATTATTATATAGAGGAATAAAATAACCCAAAATACAAACAACACATCATGATATAAACACACACACACATACACATTATCATACACAAACACACACACATATTATATATAACACACAAACACACGCACATACATAAATTTACAACCGAACCACACACGCACACATTAACAAAAACCCACACACACAAAGAGTAGTCCTGCCCCTCCACCCCAACCACCACCACCACCACCACCACCAGCAGCAACGACAGCAGCAGCAGCAGCGAGGTTTGATCCCGTCCCCCCCGGCTACACGACAACATTCCGAGATGGGATGCCCGCATCGCCCTCACTGTCCACCGCCTGCACGCTGGGGTCGGCCACCTGGACCGCTCCGGCCACCGCTCCTGACACACCTGACAGAAGGAGAGACACAACAAGACACACGCTCGTCAGAACATGACACACTATTACAAGACACCTACTAACAGCAAAATGCTAGCTGTATCTCTTTGACTGACATCACTGCCCTCATTTTATTAAATTTTATACATTAGGCTAACATAATGGGCCATAATAGTTTTTACAATTTTACAGAAGGGGTAAAAAAACCACAGCATATTGTTACCATTCAGGTTTTTGGCTCTCCCAAAGGGGGTTATAAATTAGATAACCTCTTTGGGCTCCCCAGTAAAATTGAAAAAAACAGCCTAAATAGGCCCTAAAGTATTTGTTAAAACAATGGCAGATCAGAGGGGTTAACTGGCTACAAAAGAAAATCAAAAAAATTGTCAGACCCTGTGGAAATGTATGTGTGCTGGGGTAATCAACAATCAATTTTTGAGTCCCTGCAGTTGCATTTCCACAAGTCTGAAAGGTTCAGGACAATATCAACTTGAATATATTGTCTAGTTCATCTTGTACCAAGACTGTTTTTGTGAAAAGTGCAAAAACTTCTCAATGATCAGCCTGAAGTCTCGCAAAACTTGATTCTTTTGTCAACAACAAGTCGTGCGATCAGCAGCCACAGTGACTGTCTTTTGTGAACTGTATCATGTTCTTTTGTCAGATTACGTGTGTATACGCGTATTTGAAAGGATTGATGTACGTTGAACGGTCGATCCAGCATGCAAGAACATTGTGTCAATGTGTCAGCTGTCATTTATTGTTTATTTGTTGGGGGGGGGGGGGGGGGCGGGGGGGGTTGTGAGCACCTAGAGATAGAGACACCAAAGAGTGGGTGTTCATTGTAAAAAAGTAGTCATCTTTATTACAAAAATTCAAAATCTGTAAAATGTTCAGAGATCCAGATTTTCAGATTTATCTCGAGCACCTTTGTGGCATACGGTACAAGTCCCGTCGGCAAAGAAACATCTAACTACAAAACAAATCATCTTCCCTCGACACACACAAAGCAAACAACTGATTATTACTATAATATCCCTATAATTCTCTGAAACAATTGTAACAACTCTCTTCTGTACATATTGTACTGCATCAATAAATAAATCATAGAAGCACATCTTTATCGCAAAACAAAACTCTTGATCTAATTTTGAATACAGTAATGACATTATCATATCATTATCATATTATTACCATTATCATTATTCCGTTATTATTATCATCACTGTAACAATACAACTCAAAGCTCTGTGTAATGTGGTACTTGTCAACATTTTCATAGCCAGCACCCACTTTTGCCACCTTTAATTTTTATTAAGTAAGTAAGAGGCTAAAAATATTGCCATGACGCCCACCAATCTGTCCCCGTGGTTTTATGCACCCTGCATAATTTAGCAGAATTTTATCATTTTTTGCATAATTTCGGATTATTTTCCTTTATCATTCTTTTGTTAAAATTAACAGAATCGCATAATTTCACATTTTTGGGCTCAGTTTGCATAATTTCAGAATTTTTCTTGCATAAAACGACAGGGACAGACCAATATGTAGTTGCAAGCACGGCACTCAATACTACTATTAATACCAATACCAGAACAACTTCCACACAAGACATCCCTACTACACTCAAAAATGACCCAATCATCCACGGGTGAGTGATATCTCCCAGACCAGCAAGCACTGGTCTACTTTAAAACAAGGCAGTCACCGCAGTCTACAATGTGAACACCCTCTCTCTATACTCTATCATATTGCCCATAGAGATTTTTAAAAATCTGATCAGTAAGTCAAATTCTTTTTTGAATCTGTAACTCTGCACAAAGGCGATGAAAAATTATTATTTCAAAAGAGATTCATCACAAGATAAGAATCTGAGAGTCAATGATAGTATGAATCATTGGCCAGATGTACAAAGCCAACAATTTTCTACATATTTTTACCGGTACTGCAGTTTTTAAAAACTAAATCTGTGGTGTGGGTTGCATGTGTGCTAAAGAAATACTTTGTCAAAAATTCAAATTATAAATATGTCGAAAAAAGCGAGAAAAGATGCATATAAGTAGAATCGAGGTACAATAATCTAATAATTGTTAAAAGAATGAAGCGAGTTTTCTTTTCATTCTTAAAAAATTTTGCTGTCTGGGCTGAGAAAATTTGAACAGCTTGCCAAAGAATGAGTATTTCATAACGAAACGTTCAGATATAAGTCAGCTGTCTATAAAAGTGAATCATTTGACGATGAAAAGGAAGACCTTGTAGCACCTAGCTTTGTTACACAATACAAGGTTCATTCCACAAGAGACCAACTAACAGAAAGTTGAAGTAGCCCAGCAAGCAACGCCACACACAGGCCAAACCACAGATCTTGATACGTTAGATGTTAGCGTAGCAGAAAGAAGTAGTATGTTCTCACAAAGGGTTAACAGACTGAGGTTGTGATAACGCCAAACACAAGCAGAGCAATAACTGTAGGAATACTTCTTGTGCTTGGCATGCAAACATCTAAAAAATACTAGAAAAAAATGTTTAAATTAAAAAAAATATTTTAATCACCACCTTCTGTAACAAAAAATTGTAATCAGCACTGGTCTGTACATCATATAAAAACAAGAACAAACTCAACCTCTCTAAAAAAAATTCTTTTCAACAGGTATTTTTACACCCCAAATGACACAATTCAGGTTATATTACAGGGGGTGAGCTCCGACCCTGCCTATCAGGGATACACTGTAATATCCCAGCAGAAAGACAGAGGGTTACTTGGATTAATTAAAAATCTGTCCACACGGAAATCTCATTAAGGTCTTTTTCGTGCAAGAGGGCAAAGGGCATAAACCCAATACCATGGACGCTGGTCCAGAAATCTTTCACCCAAAGACTCTTTAAGACTTTCATATATTATAATCAAGTAAACAAACCATCTTTACTTACACCAAAGATGAGCTGCAAGAAAGTTTTAAAATGTAGTTCACATATATATATATAGAAATTCTTAACCTTGCTACATAAAGGCTACCATATCATAGAATTAAAAAATGGACCAACTAAACAACAACAACAAAACAACTAACTTTTCAAAGAAAATCAAAGTTGATCAAACAGGAAAACAAATATAATTTGGTAAGAAAAGAAAAGGTGAATGATGAGGTTACAGGTGTGGACACCTGGCAAGTCAAGGTGAGATACACAACATGCAAAACATGGAAACAAAAAACAAAAAAAACAATGCAGAACAAAATCCAGCTGTGTAATTAAATCAAATACCAGTTCATCAAAATAATACTAAAATCATTAAATTGTGACTAACTAAAAAAAATATGTAAAAACCATGCAAGTTTCTTAACCCTATCCGTACGTCGTGTTTTACTATCATATCCATACGACGTGGGGAACTCTGTGCCACCGCTTTCCAAAGAGGAAATTTACTCGTTAATCCGTTCCATACACTTTGCATACAGTCTGTCAAAATGATTTTTTGTGAAATACTGAAAGTTTCAAAGAGTTCTTCGAACTAGAAGAAGTATTCTAAAATGTGAAGAATACAACCCCGGGGGTACAAAATGACCACAGGGCATACGGAGAGGGTTAAAGATAGAGCTGCCAACTGGCTACGAAAAGAAATTCACAGATCACAATGCTGTGCAGTTTCTAATGTATCTTGTGTCGAGAGTATTCTTATAATATAAAGCACGGTATAATATAAAACTCGCAAAAAGAGATTAAAATATATATATATATATATAATATAAATGTGTAAGCAAGAGTTTATTACGAAAGCCAGACAATTTCAGAGATCCCGAATTCCCGATTTATCCAGAAAAATGCTACCACTTTTTTATTTATACTATTACCGACACTGTCCGCACGCCCCACCATATGATGTGACTACTCTCATGTACCGAAAAAAGGAATTTTTAATTCACACATTATATGTATATATGGAGACTGCGAGTACAGAGAAACACATTCTCCTCACCAACTTTTCATCACTGTTATGTCATTTACTTTAATTTATGTTAGTATGTGTGTTCCTTTTTTATTCAAAAGTTCAAGGAAATATTTTTCAACAGCAGTTTCACAGCGAGTCATTTTAGTCACATTAAAGCGTTCAAGATGGCGAAGTGACACCTCCCCCCCATCCTCCTTCCCCCTCCCCCATCTCCTTTCCTAAAAAAAGAAAAGTGAAAATAAGCTTGTAAATCCAGGATTTTGACACATAAATACTGTAAAAGAAAAGATTTCCAGAGATACGAATTTCCTCATTCATCCAAACATTAATTAAGTAGCGAAAGAACTTGACTTCTGACAATTTCAGACATCTGAATATAATACCACTTCTGAAGCCTCGGTAACTTCAGGCCTTGCCAACTTGTCCAAAACCTAAATCTGGGACGCCAGACTTAGAACATGATCAGATTTTATCATACAGTCGACTACGGATGACTTGATGTAGGCGGGGAGTGGAATAAGATCATGTTTTATTGTTTTAGTAGAGAAGTAGAGGTTTTACGGTGCTCGCAACTGCATAATGTCATATGAGCGCCAAGGGGTGGATGCCAACAGAGAAGTCCTTAGAGGGAATGAATCAGACTTACCCTGCTCACCTCTCTAGCTTCAACAGCACAAAGTCTGCTTCGACTATCAAGGCACCCCATAAATAGCGGGTCACAAGAGCGTGACAAACATACAAAAGAAGTAGAGGATAAATGATGATAGCAAGGATTAAGAAAGAAAAAGCAGCAGTTCCCTGTTGCAGTTCCGGCACAGTTATGAGCATGACACCGACGAATCAGCCCATTTACAATTCTACTGTGCATAAGAACAGGTTAATGTCCCCCCCTTTGAGAATGGCCTAATATAAAGACACTCCACTCAGTAGCACCGCCCCGTGGGGGTGAAAAATATCAACTCATTGGAAGTTCAACGTAACCGTTTGGATCTCTACTGTAAAGAAAAGTAGAGGTGCTGGGACCCGAGAAAAAGATCAACTTAACCGAACAACAACTCAAGCGAGTTCAACACAAGCGGAGAAGTCAACAGTATACACTACATTAATGAACACTATACTATTACATCAAGTGGGACTAGCTTTCTTGTACTGTACAGTATCTGATACGGTTCTGAAAAATCCTGAATGCTAAATCTGGGACAGTCCCGGGAAAATCGGCACAGTTGGCAAACATGCAATTTTGTAAAAAAATCAAGACAAATCCTGTTTTACAAGCAGTCTCGACCGAGTGGGCATTAGGTAACGAGCAAGATTCCGCAATGAGTCAACAAGATGCTGCTTCATCAACAAAGTATCACAGACACACACAACATCAAGAAACTAAAGCAATAAGATGTGAGTTTCAAAAATGCAATAAATACAACAACAAACTCAGTTAGAGATGTCAACTGGCAAAGTGCAACGGAAGAAAAATCCAGAACTTTTCAGCCTCATAGAAGCTTTAAAATTTTGGGATGATTTTGTCTACTGCAACATATATGTGAAGCGTGCTGACAAAATGAGTTACTTCTCGGATTTGAGCCCTATAAAAATAGATACATTATCATGCTTATAGGTTAAGTTTTTACAATTTATAAGTATGAAATAACAAAAGGCATTTAGTATTCAATGACTATAGCATCAATAGAAAACCTAGAAATGTGTCCCTAGTGTCGATTTTTGGCCAATATCAGCTTTTGTGGATTGTAAGAAGTAACTCATTTTGTCAGCGCGCCTCACACATATATATATATATATATATATATTAAGACTTTTTATATAAAAAGTGCATTGTAACATGCATAAGAGTCGAAAAAATCTGAACAAAATCGAAGCAACTCTTAAAAATCCGGATTTCTAGATTGATCCCGAAAATTGGCATCTCTAAACAAAGTGTTAAACATGGTGATGCAAACAATACGAACGAAAGTTATCGTAAGTGCATGCCCAAAACATCAGCAGACTGGGGCAAAGGAAAAGGCGGTACGGTACCGTACTTAGCTCCCCTCTCTGGCGCCTCACACAAACCCTCCTGCAACATCAGGCACACAAACAAAACATGCTGTACATACACAATTTTTAAAAGTTTTAGTAAGAGTTTTACGGCACTTGCAGCACAATAGGGTTCGTATACGTGCTGAAGATTAGAGATGACAAGGTGACACATTCAAACACAAAACAGAAAGAGGGGAGATAAGCACGATAGATGTTGCCAGGGAAAGATGGAGCAAACTTCACCAGAGAGAGCATCCTTTCACTTTTTTAGTTTTAGTAAGAGATTTATGGCACTTGCAACACAATAAGGTCATATAAGTGCCCAAGATTAGAGGTGTTACAAGAGAGTAACAAACATAAAAAAAGAGGAAGGGAGATAAGGACGATAAATGTTTGATTGGAAAGAAGGAGCAAACCACACCAGAGCACCCGCCAATCACCCACCAATAGATGTTTGCCAGGGAAAGAAGTAGAAGGAGCAAACCTCACTAAAGAGAGAGATCATCCACCAACCACCAACGTACACAATTCAAACAGTGCAATCTCGTCCGACAGTTGATCAAACACACCACAGACATTTTCCTCACACACACGACTCACAGAGACACAGAGCTTTTAGCTTTAGTTTTAGTCAGAATTTTAGAGCTAGTTTTTTAGTTTTAGTAGAGGTTTTACGGCGCTCGCAACTGCATAAGGTCATAAGAGCGCCAGAAGATTAGAGGTGTTACAAGAGAGTAACAAACATAAAAAAGAAGAAGGGTAGAAGGATGATAGATGTTTGATAGGAAAGAAGGAGCAAACCACACTAGAGCACCCAAAAACCGCCCACAGAATTTTACAGCACTTGCAACACAAACAAGTAGCCTGTATAAGCACTGAAGATTAGAGGTGTTTAAGTAAGTGTGTTACAGCACTTGCAACACAATAAGGTCGTATAAGTGCCGAAGATTAGAGATGTTACTGGAGAGTAACAAACAGAAAAGAAGGAGAGATCATAAGGATGACAGATGTTGATAGGAAAGAAGGTGTCAACCACATTAGAGCATATTATGCCCACAGCGCTTTCAGTAATGAGAGTGAGGAGAGTATAGCTTATTGGATGCTTCTTCTCTCAGAAGTGTGGCACGTGATGTTACAAAGAGGGAGTACGACAATAGACACACTGATAACTACACATTTTATAACACACCGAGAGAGTACTACACACTTGCTAACACACCGAGAGTTGAGAGAGTGAGAACTACACACTTGAATACACTGAGAGAGTGAGAACTACACACTTGATAACACACAGAGAGAGTGAGAACTACACACTTGATAATACACTGAGAGAGTGAGAACTACACACTTGATAACACACCGAGAGAGTGAGTACTACACACTTGATAATACACTGAGAGAGATCTACACACTTGATTACACAGAGAGAGAGAAAGAGTACTACAAACTAGATAACACACTGAGAGTGAGTACTACACACTAGATAGCCCACTGAGAGACTGAATACAGCACACTAGATAGCCCACTGAGAGACTGAATACAGCACACTAGATAGCCCACTGAGAGACTGAATACAGCACATTAGATAGCCCACTGAGAGACTGAATACAGCACATTAGATAGCCCACTGAGAGACTGAATACAGCACATTAGATAGCCCACTGAGAGACTGAATACAGCACATTAGATAGCCCACTGAGAGACTGAATACAGCACATTAGATAGCCCACTGAGAGACTGAATACAGCACACCTGCTAACACACTGAGAGACTGAATACAGCACACCTGCTAACACACTGAGAGACTGAATACAGCACACCTGCTAACACACTGAGCGAGTGAACACTCCACACTAGAAAGCACACCAACAGCCAGAACTACATTACACACATGCTATGCAACAAAGAGCACTCTATATAGCAGCGGGGTTAGTAGGAAGCAGACCTCACAGAGCTTCAACACTTCTCAATTTGTGCCCATAAACTGTTTACGAAACTGATGTTCGGGTAAAATATTTGACCGTTCGTGAATTTTTATTGCATTGCATATTTTTAGTGAACACATTTCCAACCTCACTGCGAGACTGTTTTTCTCATATAAATTTTTACACATATGCATCTATATTATATGTATAATACTTTGTTTTACGTACACACTTGTCGATTAATTTTTAAAATGTGATGTCTTTTTCGTTGTAATGCGCATTGAGCATCTTTTAGAAAATGGAAATGAGCAGTATAAATGCTATTTATTATTATTATTATTATAATATTTTCTTACATAAAGTATAGAGTCCCAGACCTCTGAACTTGTTCCCACAAACTGTTACAAAACTGCTACTTGGGTAGAATATTGTTATTTTCTATTATCTATTTGTGGTGGCCGAATTCTGCTATTCATGCGGACATACTGTTTATGAAACAGCCACTCGAGTAGAATATATTGTTATTTTCTTACATAAAGTAGAGAATAGAGTCTCACACCCCTGAACCTGTTCCCACAAACTTAACGGAACTGCTACTGAGGAAGAATACTTTCTTACACGATAGTCTCAACTCCTCAAAACTTGTGAGAACAAACTCTATCAGTCAAGAGGACCTTCTGTCATACAAAAAACACCTCAACATATCATGCCCTGCCCCTCCCTCCACCCTCTCCAGTCCCATCCCCAAATCAGTGGATTATATTGCCTCCTGTACACGGTGGGTGGTTGGCAGGTGCTCTGGTGTGGTCTGCTCCTTCTTTCCTACCAAACATTTACCGTCCTGATCTCCCCTCCTTCTTTTGTGTTTGTTATTCTTTTGTAACACCTGAACTCTAATCTTCATCACTTATATTATCATGAACTTGTGCAGCAAGTGCCATAAAACGCTTACTACTTTATCCTGAACATTGGACGCTTTGTAAATTTTTAAAAAAACACACACACAAAAAAAACAGCACTGAACTTTTTACTGTGAAGAAGTTATCATAGGTTAAGGTGTTTTATGCCCCCAATGACACTATTTAAATTCCATCAAGGAGGCAGGCTGATTCAATCGTGCCTGTAGTAGAGTCAGAGCCAACCCGGGCTGAGAGGAATACAACACCCTAGCAGAAAGACTGGAGAGCTCGATGAAAAAATCTCTCCACATGACAATCGAACTCGATTCTTCTGCGTACAATATAGCAAAGTACCTAATTGCTACATCACAGTAAGACATTGGTGAACTTTCCAGACAATTCCCCAACAAGTTGTATCCTAGACAATTAGTGCTCCAGAATATACCGAGAAGTTAACAACTACTAGTACACCAGACCGTGTGGAAAATTAAGAAGGGCAGCTCGTGTTCACAGTGCACAAAATTAGAGCAAAGCAAAACAAGAAAACGTGGAAGGAAAAAAATGAGAGCAGCAATGAACTTACTTTGAGGTCGTGACCCCGGGAAGAACACTGGGAGACCTACAAGAACCAAAGAACATACTCAGAGAAGAACAAACTGGCCAAAAACACAATAATAATAACAATAATAAAAGTTTGTTCGTCAATGTCTCGACAATGTCCAATGCATCTGGAAAGGAAGAGGAGAATATTCCTTAACCCCATCCGTACCCCGTGTTTTACTATCGTATCCATATGACATGGGGAACTCTGTGCCACCACTTTCCAAAGAGAAAATGTACTCATTAATCTGATCCGTACGCTTTGCATAGCAGTCTGTCAAAATGATTCTTTGAGAAATACTGCAAGTTTCAAAGAGATCTTTGTACTAGAAGTATTCTAAAAAGTGAAGAATACAACCCCCGGGGTACAGAAAGACCCCCCGGGGCGTATGGATAGGGTTAAAGAGAAATAGAAAGGGAAAAAAAAGGATTAAGATGATTTGTGGGCTTCTGCTATGGCTAATGAGACCAATTTTGGCAGAGAAGACAAGAGTCTGCCCCATCTGAAATATTTCTTAAGGCATTAGTTTCGCTAGTGGATGTGCGCAGTTTGCGGGCTTTTTATCTTGACTTCAGCCATGAAGAAGAAGAGCAAAACTAACAAAATCTCTGTACTCGTTGCTCCGAGTTCCCAATTATACATCTGTGCTGTCAGCTGGTCGTGAAAGAGGAGGCGAAACACAAGAGAGTGTAAATGACGTGTGCCTCACAAAAGAGCAGAGATAAATTCCATTTGCAGCAGAAAAGACAATACAGCTCTATTCCTCCTCCTACACGTACTTAATTTTAGTAAAACTTTACGGCACTTGCAAAATAACAAGGTCAGATCAGAGCCGAAGATTAGAGGTGATAGAAGAAAGTAACGAGCACAAAAACGAAAGTGGACCAATAAGGATGATAGATGAAGATATTTGATAGGAAAGGAGTAAACCACACCAGAGCACCCACCAACCACCTACTTTGCTAGCATCAGTTTACATTTAGGCTAGCAATAGAATGAAAAACACATGTCTAGTCTAACAAATGAACGCATGCCCTCGGAAAACATAAACACCAAAATTATTTTTAAAAAGGCATCGGAATTTCACTTTTGACTTGATTAGTTTTTTAAGGGGTTTTTTTAGTAGAAGTTTTACGGCGCTCGCAACTGCATAATAAGGTCATATGAGCGCCAACGGGTGGATGTCAACAGAGAAATCCTTACAGGGAATCAGGCTTTCTCTGCTCACCTCTCTAGCTTCATCAGCACAAAGTCTTCTTCGACTATCAAGGCACCCCGGAAATAGCGGGTCACAAGAGTGTGACAAACAAAAGAAGTACAGGAAAACTGACGATAGTAAAGACTAGAAAAGAAAAAGCAGCAGTTCCCCGTTGCAGTTCCCGCACAGTTATGATCATGACATCGATGAATCAGCCCATTTAAAATTTACAATTCTACTGTGCATAAGAACATGGTTAGTGTCTCCCCGAGGGAATGGCCTAAAGACATTTCAGTCAGTGGCACTGCCCCATGGGGTAGGTATATCTAGACAGAGAGTCCACAGACACTGACACAATGATACTGCTGTCCTGGCTAAGTTGTAGTAGAGGTTTTACGGCGTTCGCAACTGCATTAAAGGTCATATGAGCGCCAGAAGATTAGAGGTGTCACAAGTGAGTAACAAACATAAAAAAGAAGAAGGGGAGATAAGGACGATAGATGCTTGATAGGAAAGAAGAAGCAAACCACACCAGAGCACCCGCCAACCATCCACGTCCTGACTAATGAGATTTGCTGAAAATCAGAGCTGACAGTGAAAATGCACACATCCCCCTAGAAACCAAGGGTTCAAGGGTGGCTCACATCTACAAGAGAAGGAAAGACAATGACCACTACAACAGAAGACTGACCATTAGGACAGAAGACTGACCTTGTTTTTTATGCAACTGCGTAAGGTCATATGAGCGCCAGAAGATAACAAGTGTTACAAGAGAGTAACAAACATAAAAAACAAGAAGGGGAGATAAGGACGATAGATGTTTGATAGGAAAGAAGAAGCAAGCCTCACCAAAGCACCCACCAACCACCCACTAAGGATACTTTCTCACCCATCACTGCAAAACCTTGTTAGTTAGCGCATCTCTGTGAGGTCTGCCCCCCTTCCCCCCCCCACTCCCCACCTCCTCCCCCTTACACAACCACACTCACAACACACACAAGTGTGACAATGACAAAACATACACCATCTAGACTACAACTACAAGCCTGTTTCACGTTTTAGTAAGAGTTTTACGGCACTTGCAACACAATAAGGTCATATAAGTGCCGATGATTAGAGGTGTTACAAGTGAGCAGTAAACACACAAAAGAAGGAGTGATGAGGACGATAGATATTTGGTGGGAAAGAAGGAGCAAACCACACCAGAGCACCCATCAACCACCCACTACATGACATCCTCCACTCAACATTCATTGCCCACTGGGCCACACCACACTGACCCATGACAAGATGCAACAAATGACAACAAAATGAAAAGGTCACCAGATTGCAAAAAACAAACGATATAAAAAATACTACACTTGTGCTGCTTATAACACTCATCATGCATATATGATCGCTTTTAAGCACAAGGGGGCAATCCCGTAAAATGATGTTTTGAGAAAATCTAAGTTACAGTTTTTGCCCCTTGTTCAGTTTCTTTAAAAGTAAAAGACAAGGAGAGTTTTCTCTATAACCAAACAAATATACACACCAATGAAACCAAACTTCTCCAATATGTAGGGCAAGATTTCTGTAAATCCCCGAAATCTGGGATAGCCCGCTTGTCCTTAAAAGCGACCGTATGTGGATGTTCTAGTGGAGAGTACAAGGTGCTCTCAATTCTTCCTCACTCTGTCTCTCTCTCTCTCTCTCTCGAACACACACACAGACACATTTACTCAAAAACATACACACATACACATTTCTCAGGCCAGACACACAGGACTGTTATACACACAGTCCTGGTCTCAAGAGCTGACACGAGCACAGTCCGAAAGAATCATGACATAGAAAAGAATCAAAAAGAGACCCCAATGAAAAAAATCCCAGATAAGTTACAACTTTTTTAAAAAGAGATTTTTCCCCCATTCTAAGAACACGGAGGATTTTACACACACTTGTGCTGATCTCTATCATAGACTACACGATAATATCTAGGGTATTTGCCGCGTCATGTTATAATGAGTTAGCCCGCTTGTCCTTAAAAGAAAACTATCATAGACTACACGATAACATCTAGGGTATTTGCAGAGTCATGTTATAATGAGTTAGCCTGCTTGTCCTTAAAAGAAAACTATCATAGACTACACAGTAATATCTAGGGTATTTGCCGAGTCATATGTTATAATGAGTTAGCCCGCTTGTCCTTAAAAGAAAACTATCATAGACTACACGATAATATCTAGGGTATTCGCCGGGTCATGTTATAATGAGTTAGCCTGCTTGTCCTTAAAAGAAAACTATCATAGACTACACAGTAATATCTAGGGTATTTGCCGAGTCATATATTATAACAGGTTACTTGAGGGAGGCATTGTGCTGCCAAGAGCGAAATGCTCGCAGCAAAAGGGATTTGACAACAACAACAACAACATGGGCCAAAAGCCTTAAAAATGAATCAAATCATTTGAAATCTGAAATCGAAATATCTAGGAATCTAGAAACACAGAGCACAGAGGGCGTATTGTTTTCAAAATTAATCATCATAAGCAAAAACAAGAACATCTAAGATCTTTCTCATTCTATTCTTTAACCCCTTCACTGTAAGACCTGACACTTTTTTGCTCTGTGCTCTTTGACAGGATAATGCTCCCTGCCTGGGAGTGAAAGAGTTAAAAATTAGAACTTCCTTTTCTGCAACTGGTCCCACAGAAAACCCTGTTAAGTCTTGTGTCTTCTGCTATGTAAGGTCAAAGAAATGCTATACATTGTACTCACAATGAACTACAGACATTCAAACTTTGAATTTCCATTTTTTTTTACTTTCTTAAGATGTGACTTAACACTTTGCCCCCGTTACATCTCGCCAATCGTCAAGAACGCCGAACTTCCGCTCCCGTCACAAAACCCCGATCAGCGACGTCTGCCACCCAGCTTCTTTATATTTCCCCAAAAATGCTTGTGATGGCAAAGTGTTAAATGGTTTGGGGGTTTTTTTCCACTGGAGTCTTCAAAAATAAAAAAACAAAGGTGACCAAAATAGTTTTGAAAAGAAAAGGGTGAGGGAGCATCAAGAAGCAACAACAGTAACAACAAGAACGGCAACGACGCGTCAATCGTTAAAAAAAAGTTAATAAGGCTCACTAAGAGATTCGTCCTCTGCCACAAAGTTCACGTCTGCTCCGTCCACCAGCAGCTCGTCGTCGTCGGCAACGTGCACATCACCGCCACCTGTAGGAGAGAGACACGGGGGGGGAAACGACACGCGTGTGGGGGGTGGGTGCATGGGGGTCAAACGTAAGGTAAGCAAATTGGTGCGGAGCAGCGGGGAGGGGGTCGTCAAACAAAGAAAAAATGGAGGGGGGGGGGGGGGGATTGAAGAGTGTGAAGAGTGTGTGTGTGAGTGTGTGTGTGTGTACTGTGTGCAGGGGGGGTGTCGAGTAAAGAAAAATGGGGGGGGGGGGGGGCAAAAAAAGGGTAAGGGGAGATAGGAGGGTTTAAGTGTATAAATGTTTCGGTTTTACGCCCCAGTCAACACTATTTGGTTGTTCAAGAGGTTAAGAGGTGGGACCTCCAAATTAAGCATCTGTTTCCTAGTTTAGTTTTAGTAAGGTTTTATGGCACTCACAACTGCATAAGGTCATATGAGCGCCAAGGGATGGATGTCAACAGAGAAGTCCATACAGGGAATCAGGCTTACTTTGCTCGCCTCTCTAGCTTCAACAGCACAAAGTCTGCTTCGACCATCAAGGCACCCCAGAAATAGCAGTTCACAAGAGAGTGACAAACATACAAAAGAAGTAGAGGGAAATGACGATAGTAAGGTAGAGGAAAGAAAAAGCAGCAGTTCCCATCTCTGACAGAACAGAGCCAAGTGGGTTGAGAGCCTTGAAAACTCTATAAAATAACCCAAGTTCAAAAACCCCCCCAGTCTGAGATTTGAACCACGGCCATCTGCTCTGTACTCCAGCATGATACCAACTGGGCGAATGGAAGGGAGGGAAAAGGAGGGAAAGGGAAGGAAAGGGAGGGAAAAGGAGGGAAAGGGAGGGTGTAGAATTGAGGAGAACAACAAGGTCATACATTCAGGGAGAGGAAAGAGAAGGCAATAAAATAAGAAGGCCGAAGTTTTTATTTTCACAGGGGGAGGAATAAGCATCACACAAATAATAATAGCAATAATAATGATGATAATAATAATCAAGACAATAAAGATAGTTAATATAGTAGTCTCCGCCTAAGATCCCACCGCTTACGATCCCGCTGTGTTAAGAAAACAGCATTTTTACTATACAAAAGTCACCTCTAAGATCCCGCTCTGATTCTCCCGGGTCATGTTATAATGAGTTAGCCTGCTTGTCCTTAAAAGAAAACTATCATAGACTACACGATAATATCTAGGGTATTTGCCGGGTCATGTTATAATGAGTTAGCCTGCTTGTCCTTAAAAGAAAACTATCATAGACTACACAGTAATATCTAGGGTATTTGCCGAGTCATATATTATAACAGGTTACTTGAGGGAGGCATTGCGCTGCCAAGAGCGAAATGCTCGCAGCAAAAGGGATTTGACAACAACAACAACAACATGGGCCAAAAGCCTTAAAAATGAATCAAATCATTTGAAATCTGAAATCGAAATATCTAGGAATCTAGAAACACAGAGCACAGAGGGCGTATTGTTTTCAAAATTAATCATCATAAGCAAAAACAAGAACATCTAAGATCTTTCTCATTCTATTCTTTAACCCCTTCACTGTAAGACCTGACACTTTTTTGCTCTGTGCTCTTTGACAGGATAATGCTCCCTGCCTGGGAGTGAAAGAGTTAAAAATTAGAACTTCCTTTTCTGCAACTGGTCCCACGGATAACCCTGTTAAGTCTTGTGTCTTCTGCTATGTAAGGTCAAAGAAATGCTATACATTGTACTCACAATGAACTACAGACATTCAAACTTTGAATTTCCATTTTTTTTTACTTTCTTAAGATGTGACTTAACACTTTGCCCCCG